GAGAGGGGGAGAGAGGGAAAGAGAGGGGGAGAGAGAGAGATGGATGGGAAGAGGGGGAGAGAGAGAGACAGAGAGAGAGAGATGGAGAGATTTGAGAGATTAATTAATTAATAAATTGAGTTTAACAGTAGATGTAAATTTGGAGGGTTTGAAAGTATGTGTTAGATAATGAAGCAGTATGTGTACGAGAGTTTGATGGAACACATGAAAGAGTTTAGGTTGTTTCAATTATTTTTTTTTGTATGTGTGTGTGTTTGGGCGGGGGGGTATGTAGGTTCAGATTTATTCAATTTAGGATTCTTTTTTAGGGTTTAAAAATCTCCACAGACAACCAAAAACTACTAGTAAAATAAGTGCAGAGAAAATAGTTTTAACCTGACCTGCTTCATGGTTGCCTCTGCCTTCTATGTGAACTCCAGGTGGGTCTGAATCTGTCTGTGGTTGCCCTTGTGCAGACGGTTCAGAGACAGAAACTTCATCTGCGTTTGAATTAAATTCATCTTCAATCTTTCCCAGTGCTAATGAATAAGGGCAGGTCAATCCTCTTCTACAGTAGAAGCAACCACAGTTATTCAGAGCATCCATGGAGGGTCCAGGTCTCCTCACAATGTTTCTGGCTATCTCTTTAATGAGAGGTGATTCTGTTAAACGTTTCCTTAGTGCTGTAGGTTCAGAGACAGAAACTTCATCTGCGTTTGAATTAAAATCATCTTCAATCTTTCCCAGTGCTAAAGAATAAGGGCAGGTCAATCCTCTTCTACAGAACAAGCAACCACAGTGAGCATCCATGGAGGGTCCAGGTCTGCTCACAATGTTTCTGGCTATATCTTTTATGAGAGGTGATTCTGTCAAACGTTTCCTCGGTGCAGACGGTTCAGAGACAGAAACTTCATCTGTAAAATTATCTCCCAGTAAATTCCTTACTTTGGATCTAACCCAGCGATAGACGGAGGAGCTATAGCTTGGCTGACCTGCTTCCGGTTTGGCTTTTTCATCGTCTGGTTGGACGGCTGTAAGTGCAGCCGTTTGAAAATGTGCAGATTCTGTGGATTCGGCTGAATAATAAAGTTTTAGAAGAGAACGCATGATTGATGATCAATTGCTTCACCTAAATACACAAAAAAATACCTTTGTAGAATAAAGAATATTATTCTTCTAATGTCCAATGAAACAAGCTAAACTTTCCTGAGCTTGTTCACTGAGTGAATGAGCTGACAGCCTGTTGTGGTCACGCCCACACCTCTGCTGTGACGTCACTGTTGTTCTGTATTGGCGCTAAGAGCCCCGCCCACGCGCGGCAGCCTGTCACGTGACCTTTGGAATTTGCGCGGCAGTGTGCACACACACACGCGCGCGCGCACACACACACACACACACACACACACACACCTGGGTATTAAGTATTTTACCTTTACCAAAGATATTCAGTAAAAGTTCAGGCTTAACTTTAGTTAAAACTCTTTTATTTATTGTAGCAGATAACATTGTTTTTCAGAAGATATTTAAAACCCAATGAATATTATCTCTGAGCCACAATATCAGTTGCAACTTTCAGTAAATGTAAGATGTTTTCATCTCATCTCATCTCTTTCAGCTGAGGTCCTGCTGAATTCTGATTGAACACACCTGGATCAGCTTAGACCTGCTTTGTAGCATAAGTGCATAAAAGCTGCCGAAAGGCTTTTTATATATATACAGTGTGTTTTTTTTTCTTTTGAAGTTGGTTTAACGCACTTGCTCCAGAATGGGTAAAGTATAAGTTTTATACCACATTCTCCAAAAACTCTTATGTATTTCTGAATATTAAAGTTTAAGTAATGGGTAATGTGAACATTTTCTGTTGATTTTATACTTTGATTCAATGCTTAATCTAGTCTATCTTTTGACAGCAAAGAAAGTGCTGATCGTGTTTGCTCACCAGAGCTCTGGATCATTCAATGCTGCAGCTAAAAATGCTGCTGCAGAGGTCCTGACTGCTCAGGGCTGCACAGTGGGAGTCTCTGACCTGTATGCCATGAGTTTTAAAGC